CATTGTGCAGATAAAAATAATGGAAGTAATCATAACAAAAAACACAGATCTGTACACATACCCCAATTTAAAATGAATACTCAATGATCCACAACAGTAATAATACTGCTAATGAACACAGTAAGGTTTGAAATTGTTATTCAGTATGAGGTTCTGTCGACATTTGTATCAGTTTGACAGGTGATCCAGCTGTGCAGTATGTTATAAGTAGCCTAACTAATGTCCTAACCTCGCATGCTGGGAGGAGCTCAGACACAGGGAAAGATAAGATAAGATAAGATGTTCCTTTATTAATCCTCCTTAGGAGAAATTCAAGATTGACACAGCAGCATAGGGCAATGTAGTGCAAAAGAGAGTAAAAAAGTGGAAGATATCACAAAATACAATTACAAACTATAATAGAAAAAATAAGACTGTAAATGAAACTATATACACAATGCAATATTCAAGTAGGAATGGTGTGCAAATATATGAGCAGCTTGACTAAAATTAAAGTCTGTCAGTCAGTCTGTGGCTGAAAGTGCTCCTGCCTCAGCTCAGTGTAGAGAGGATGAGAGGGGCTGTCCATGATGGCTTTCAGCTTCCCTCTCATCCTTCTCTCAGTCACTGCCTCCACACTGTCCAGCTACATCCCAACCACTCAGCTGGCCTTCCTCACCAGCTTGCTCAGCTCGGCACCCCTTGTCCCGATGCCTCCTCCCCAACAAACAACAGCAAAGAAGAGGACACTGGCCACTTCAGACTGGTGGAACATCAGTAGTAGTTCACAGACACGAAGCAGACAAGCAGGCTGACACGGAGCAGGCAGACCAGAAGAACAGAGCGAGGGAGAGGTCAGAGAGGATAAGGATGAAGATGAAATGGTAGAGAGAGGAGCAGAGAACTCAGACGTGGCCGTTACTCACCATCAGTTCAATAAGCCCAATCAACCAGATCCAAAATTAATTGCTAAACAGTCCTTGTCCAAATATACTCTGAGTTTTCTAACTCAGTGGTACCAGAAATTCCCATGGCTCCATGTGAGTCCTGGTGTTGAGGGTGAATTGTGCTTTTACTGCTCCAAAGCCTTTAACTCTGAGACATCACCTCTTGCCAAGAATGCTGATTCAGCATTAATTTCATCTGGGTTTAAAAATTGGAAAAAAGCCCTTGAGCGATTTACTGTGCATGAGAGATCTGATAGTCATAAGACAGCCATGACAACGCACATCTATGAAGATCGATCAGTACAGGTTCAGCTATCTAGTGTGAGTGTGAAACAGCAAGAGGAAGGGGATGTCTTCTCAAAATCACTGGTGCTGTGCAGATGTTGGCTAGGCAGGGCTTACCTTTTAGGGGCCATGAATGTGGTGAGGGAAATTTTGAACAGGTTCTGACGTACAAATCAGAGGATGACCCCTCTCTAACCAAGTGGTTGACAGGTGGTAGAAAGGATGTATATACTTCAGCTATGGTTCAAAATGAAATCCTGACTTTATTCAGCAGCGTGATCTTACGTGAAATAGTTAAAAACATCAGATCACTTCCACACCTGCAGTACTCTGTGATGATGGAAGGGACACGAGACGTGTCTGGAAAAGAGCAAGAGGCAGTGTGTTTGAGATATGTTGACAAGGATTTAGTCCCTCGTGAAGAATTTATTGGTCTTCATGAGGTTTCTTTGACAACAGGAGAAAACCTAGCAAAAGTAGTCATGGATGTTTTGTAGCACCTAAACTTGCCTATCACTGGGTTGCGTGGCCAAGCACATGATGGGGCCGCAAATATGGCTGGCAAATACAATGGAGCACAGGCCATTGTAAGAAAAACACAACCTATGGCTCCCTGTGTTCATTGTGTTGCCCACTGTGTTAACCTAATTACACAGAGGTCCTGTACTGCCTCAATATTTATCCGGAATTCTCTGGATTGGGTCAATGAGTTAGGAGTGTTGTTTGGGCAGTCAGGGAAACTGAAGGACATATTTAAGGGAATTGCAAGGTCTGAAGAGGGTGAGGGTCCATGTCAAACTATAAGACCTTTGTGTCCAACAAGGTGGACGGTCCGCACGAGTGCCACCCGCACTGTGCTAAACCAGTACCAGTGCATAATCAAGGCTTTGGCTGAGATGGCAGTGAGTCAGTCTGATGCGGCTAGTAAGGCACAAGGGCTGTATGAGACATTTCAGCAGGGAATTGTTGTCCTTGGTCTTGTGTGTGCTTTGGAGGTCACAGGGGAGTTGGAGGTTTTGATTATGTCCCTCCAGAGCAGAACACAGACCCTGGATAGTATGCTTTCAGCTGTTGACTGTGTTAAGGAAAGTTTCAGCAAAAAGAGAAACACAGAAAGTTTTCAGGCTCTTTACACGAAAGCAACAAGGATGTGTGAGACACTCCATCTCACTCCTATTGCCTCTCCTCGTGTCCGTATCCCACCTCAGTGCTTCACAGGTAGTGCTCCTGCACATGTACGTGTCCCCTTCTGACTACTACAGGACTGAATTCTACAAAGGTCTGGATGTTGTTGACATGCAGTTTAGAGAAAGATTTGAGCAGGAGGGAATGCAAATATTAAGGCACCTGGAACTCGTTCTCTTAACTGGAATGATACAAGGTGTTGTCCAACAGTACCCAGAAATCAACCCAGACATCCTCAAAGTTGAGCTTGCATTGTTCAGAATTAACTACAGCTTCCAGTCTAGTACTGAAATTATTGCTGTTCTTCAAGGGATGACCCCAGAGGTTCGTGGTCTCTTTGACCAAGTCGAAACAGTTGCCCGACTCCTCCTAGTTGAGCCTGTGTCATCAGCAGCCTCCGGAGGCTGAAAACATGGCTACGCAGCACCATGACCCAAACCCGCCTCAACAGTGTTGCTGTGTGCCATGTACATAAAGACAAGCTGGACAAGGTAAACAGAAAAAAGCTTGCTGAACAGTTTGTCTCCTGTAAGGAGGGGAGAAAGAGCACTTTTGGTTCTTTTAAATGAGAGGTAGTTGATCATATGTTCATTGATCAGTTGGTTGTTGTTGTTGTTGTTGGTTGCACACACACACACATATATATATATATATATATATACACATATATATTGTTCTTAATATATGTTGTTTGTGTATCTGGAGTTTGTAACAAAAATAATTTCCCCCTGGGATTATTAAAGTATTTCTGATTCTGATTCTTTAGCAAGTCTACTGTTGTGTATTTTCACAACAGGGTTTTGACTTATTTTCCATTACTGTCAGTCACATTTGGACATATGGAAGCCCGAAGTTGTCAATGATGATAATAAAATATAAGACAATATTTAATTAAATCAACAAGCTGTGTTAAATATCTATGTGAAATAATTGAGAAAGTTGTTCAAACCCAACTAGGAATTCATTTTCAGATACAATTTTTATTTTATTAGTCATGTTTGTTCCAATTTTTTTAAGCCCATTTTTATTTCCTGTTAGTTTGCAGATGTGTTTATCATTTTATACCGAGTGTGTTTTTTCTAGTTTATACTAGTATCTAGTGATACTTTTCTAGTATCACTCATTTAAATGGGAAGCTTTTAATATCTTGTATTTTATACTTTTTGTACCCTTCTGTCATGGTATTCATCGTTTTTATTGTTAATGAACAAACCACATCCATCCCCGCACTTTTGAAAAGCTTGCTACGCCCCTGTGTGTGATAGTGTTTTGTCATATTTAACAGTAATATATTGATCAGTGAAACTCAGCCACGATGATCAGCTCTGATGTGAAGTGTGTGACCGTGAGTCTCAGCCATCATCAGTGTGTGTTTGCTGCGAGCAGAATAAGTTGATTTTATCCCAAAGTGATCATCAGCAGACGATTGTTTTTACTTTGAGTGTGTGAACAAACATGTGGAGCGACTGGAAAACGTGTTTTGACGGAGCTGCGATGCATTTGAAATGATTTCCGGAGAGAAATGAGTGTTAAAAGCCGCCGAGCAGCGCCGCTCAGGACGGTGAATATGTGAGGTTTGGAGGCTCCCCAAAGAAAATGCAGAGAGCATCAGAGCTCTACAAGAGCTGAATATGAAGAGACACAAGTCCGCTATCGGCTCCCTTCACCGTCAGCCTCCAGCACTTGTCCCACATTGAGTTTGGAGCGTTTTATCGATGAGGAGAAAACACAAGTGAGCCGGCATCAGGAGGCAGGGGCCGGGTTGAGTCTCCACGGTCCTCATGGTGTGTTTAAGGGCAGCCTCCTGCTCCGGACTCTCCAACACTCAGTGTCACTGTCGTATCGCGCCGAGCAGGAAGACAACATTAAGTTGACAATGGCAGAAGTAGCTCCAGCTCCCGCCGCCGCCGCCGCCCCGGCTAAAGCAGCCAAGAAGAAGGTTTCCAAACCGAAGAAGGCCGGCCCCAGCGTCAGCGAGCTCATCCTGAAAACTGTGGCCGCATCCAAGGAGCGCAGCGGCGTGTCTGCGGCCGCCCTCAAGAAGGCTCTGGCTGCCGGAGGCTACGATGTGGAGAAGAACAAGGCCCGCGTCAAGACCGCCATCAAGGGCCTGGTGGCCAAAGGGACTCTGGTCCAGACCAAGGGGACCGGGGCCTCCGGATCCTTCAAGATGAGCAAGAAGACGGCCGAGCCCGCAGCCAAGAAGAAGAAGCCGGCAGCAGCAGCAGTAGTCAAGAAAGCCTCCGCTCCTAAAGCCAAGAAGCCCGCAGCAGCAGCAGGAGCAGGAGCCAAGAAAGGCAAAGCAGCAGCGGCCAAAAAGCCCAAAGCAGCGGCCGCCAAGAAGCCCGCAGCCGCTAAGAAGTCCCCGAAGAAGGCCAAGAAACCCGCGGCGGCGGCGGCAGCCAAGAAAGCCGTGGCCAAGAGCCCCAAGAAGGCCACCAAGAGCCCCAAGAAGGTGGTGAAGAAAGCTCCTGCAGCCAAGAAAGCCCCCGCAAAGAAGGCTGCAAAGCCCAAAGCCAAGAAGGCAGCACCCAAGAAGAAGTGAGCTGTCAGCAGTCTGATTGTGTCCGACTAAAGGCTCTTTTAAGAGCCACCAACACTCACCTTAAAGAGCAAGGTCCTGGTTATTATTGTTACTGTTGTTATTATCTCCAGATGTTAGGAGGTTTTCTATTGTTACAATGTAACCTGATTTGAGGCTGTCTGTCAACACTGATGAAGACATATAAAAGGTAAAATGTATCATAATGTATTATAGAAAACAAATATCTGAGGAGAGCCAGTCAGCTAATTTATATTTTTCACTCTTTTATATTTGAGGATTTTTCTTGTATAGTGATTGTATGAAACAAAATATTAGAGCTGTTGTGTCTTGGAGTTGTTATGTAACAACAAAGAAATGTCCAATGATGAACTACAATGATGATGAGACACAACAGCATCTTTTAAAGGATTGTTACAGAGCTCAGGAAGTCAGCCACAGATTGAAGGAGTTTGGACTAAACTATGATCCCTGTTGGAAGTCTGTGATGTTTGTAACCATTAACAGAAACAATAAACCATCTGACCACATTGAACTATTACAGCTTATAATGAGCATCGCTTGTTTTAAACTGTGGAAAACAACATCTGCTATGATCATATACCAGACTATTATAGACAGTAAGACTGTAACTAAACAAATATCTACTCAACAACAACAACAACCACAAGAAGAAACGATGGCGAGAACCAAGCAGACCGCTCGTAAATCCACCGGAGGCAAAGCCCCCAGGAAGCAGCTGGCTACCAAGGCTGCCCGTAAGAGCGCCCCGGCCACCGGCGGCGTGAAGAAGCCTCACCGTTACAGGCCCGGTACCGTGGCTCTGAGAGAGATCCGTCGGTACCAGAAATCCACCGAGCTGCTGATCCGCAAGCTGCCCTTCCAGCGCCTGGTCCGAGAAATCGCTCAGGACTTCAAGACCGACCTGCGCTTCCAGAGCTCCGCTGTCATGGCTCTGCAGGAGGCCAGTGAGGCTTACCTGGTCGGCCTGTTTGAGGACACCAACCTGTGCGCCATCCACGCCAAGAGGGTCACCATCATGCCCAAAGACATCCAGCTGGCCCGTCGTATCCGCGGAGAGAGAGCTTAAACTGTCTGCTGCTGCTCCACAAAACACAACGGCTCTTTTAAGAGCCACCTCACTGCAGACTAAAGACCCTCTTCCTCTCATCACTCTATTATTTTATATAGTATTGATTATATTATAGTTTATGATACTTGACCTCAAAAACCAGGAAGACTAAATGTGCTCAGTTTTATTTTTATTGATATAATCTTAATATATCTAAATCCTGACAGCTCATGTTGGAGAAAGTGATTTAATTTCTGTTTCTTCCTTTTTTGAGTTTGAGTCAGCGTAAAGGAGCGGTGTGTAGGATTTAGTGGCATCTAGCGGCAGAGCTGCAGATTGCAATCATTTAGAGAAACGCGGCCATGAGAACGTGAAAGGCCCTATATAGAGCCAGTGTTTAGTTTGTCCATTTTGGGCTCCTGTATAAACATGGCGGACTCTTTAGAGCGAGATCTGCTCCATCTGTAGATATAAACCGCTCATTATAAGGTAACAAACTATTCTTATTTTCAGGTTATAAAAATGACTCATTCAAGGTAATGGAAACACAATACCTATATTTAGGTGACTATGCACTAACAAAAACATTATCTATGAATATTATATTCAGGTTCTGCCAATAGATACTCCTAAATGTTACACACTGGACTTTTTAATAAGGTTTAAGTGAAACCACTAAAATCCTCAAAGGATGATACCCAAAAGTTGTTAAACTAGCTATTAACCATTTAGATAAACTCAAACTAATTTTCTAGCATGCAGGGCAGCCTGTATGACACTGCATCACATTTTCCTTGCCCTTGTCGCCGAAGTGCTTGCTCATGGTGGTACTGTTGGGTCTCTGTAATTAATGTTTTAAAGAGTTCGGTCTAGACCTGCTCTATTTGAAAAGTGTCCTGAGATAACTTCTGTTATGAATTGGCGCTATACAAATAAAATTGAATTGAATTTTCTGCATCCAAAAGGAGGTGGATGCCCTTCTAGGGATCCCCCTCTTGCTTCAAGTCCACCAGTGTACATAGATCTAAGTTTCATTCACAAACACCTTTGGAGAGCTTTAGACTCAAACGAATGGCAGCAGTTGAATGTGCAGCCTCAGATGTAGACTGAAAGGTTCATGTTGTGCAGGATTGCATTAAACAGTGCTTTAAGGGTTATTTTCAGAGCCATATGAACAGGAGGAATGATAACTATGGTCGACAATATAAACCCTTTAACAACTTACCCAAATGAGTTAATTCAAAAGAGATGAAGTCAGAAGCATTTGATAGTTTGTCAATTTAATGCATTAAGGCATTAAGGCCTTTACATATTGGCATCAACATAACGTGTAATTACTTTGATAATACAGAGTTAGGGTATCATATTCAATCTAAAACATGCAGGTTTGAACTCAAAACATTCAGAGGCTAATGTGCCAATAGAAACCTGCTCTGCTGTGCAAAGCAAAGCACAATACATAGACCAGTGAGAGCTACTACATAATGACCCACCACCGACAGTTAATACAGTGTAAAACCAGTGAGAATACATACGTCAACCAAGTTATCATAGATGATGGTACAAAATCTGTATCAACACTTTCACCAACATTGACTGTCACTGATGAACTGGACAGTTTCCACTCTCGTGTCTGTTTCATTTGTGTTGGCATTGTGCAAAATTGGTTCAGGTAATAATATAGAAGGATAACACAGTGAGAGGAAAAGCATACAGTAGAGACACACAGAGTCATACTGATACTAGCAAATGTGAACCACAGTCTGGAAACTGCATCACATCTCCCAAAAAGACCCACATTTGTGTGCAAAACAAGCATTAAAATGTACAGTATTTTCCCCTAAACAGGTACAGTAACAGCACATGAACCTCAAGCACAAATAAAATGAAACTGCTTGTTAGAGGAATATTTTATGATAAAATATACCCATTAAGTAGAAAAATAGACCAAGAAAAGTATGTGTAAAGCTTTTGTAGAAAAACACCATTCACTGACATGAATATGATTATTTGGCCAAATATAAATGCATTAAATGGAAAGTAACAGTAAGGCTATAAGATGTTTGTCAAGGGGAATACGAAGCTAGATCCTCTCAGACGGAGCCTTACTTAATAGCTTGCATGGCTAACGTTTTAAACTATATCTGCATTTTGACTGTGGCCGTTATATTATTTCCCTCCTGGCTCTCCTCCGTTCACTCAGCTGCAGGCTCAGACACTTCGGTTTGCACGTCCACGTCCTCGTCGCTGTCCAGACCAGAGCGATTCGTGTTACGCCGCAGATTGAAGGGCAAGTCACGCCTTTAAACAAAAAACAAACAATTAATGGTTCAAGCACAGTCAGGTGCTGCACAAATACTGAACACAAGCAGAAAAAATTAGCCATAAAGCGAATATTTTAAAGACTAGAATTGAGTGTATAGTCAAATAAAAAAATAAAAAAAACACTAGCTGGGGGGTCAAAACAGCATTAATCAAGATATCCTGACATTTATTCCGTGGAACAGTTCAAACTCCACGGATCCTACACTTCCCATTTAACAACTTGTGAGCACTACACTCACAGAGCTCCTCAAGAGCCACAGGCTGAATAATAATGTAAAATGTATTTAGTTATCCTTTAAAGTGTTAAATGCTTCACTCTCAAGTGAGATGAAAACCATTATGCATTAAGAGGAAGTATAAATGAGCGTTAGAAGCCTCTACCTGAGCTTGCTCTTCAGGGTGCTGACTTCACGGTTCATAATGTCTGCTGACTCAGTGGCATCGTCCAGCTCCCTCTGCAGCTTCCTGCGGTAGGCGTTGGCTCGTGTCACCTCCTCTTCTGCCTCCTCAAGCTGACGCTTCAGCTGACGCATTCGGCTGTTTGTCTTCTCCACCTGCAGAGAGAGGGTTTGCTTAGTGTGGAGAGCACCAGAACAGGTCCCAAAAACTACAATATTCAGCATCAAACTACACAACGAGACGCCTCTTTTTTTACTTTAATAATGTGGAAGTTAAAAGTAGAAGGAGATTGGCGATGAAGCTTACCTGGTCTTTGTATTGCTCTGTGTTGCGCCTCTCGTCATCGACTTGTAACATCACCTCTTTCAGCTTCTTCTCTGTCCGCCTGGCCAGCCTGGAGGCCTGCTGACGCTCCCTGAAAAGAGTAGAAAGGCAATGAGGAATTAATACACCATCTCTAGACTCCAAAAGTATAGAAAAGTATAAATAGAAGAAAATGTATGATTATTTAAAAATATATATCAAGTTTTCTTTATTGATCAACTCAGTATCCATCGTTCTTTACTAAATCAGGTGTACACAGACAAATTACTGAAACTTAGGATTTAGAGCTGCAGCTCCTATCAAAGAAGATGGAGGTCATGACTAGTTTTCACCATCTGAATTAGTTCTGACTAGTTTACCAGCAGACCACAATAGTTATCAAAGTGTCCATTGCACTGGAACTCACTTTGACTCGATATCGAGCTGCTCTTCCAGCTGAGCGATCTTGGCCTCCATGGTGGTGATTGAGAATTTATACTTGGACTTGATGGTTCCCTCGAGCTCCTGCAGCTTCAATTTCAGCTCCTTGTTCTGGCGATCCAGCTGGGAGCGAGTCCCCTCCAGCCGCTGGGAGGAGCTCCGCTCTGCAGACAACTCTGTGGTCAACTGCTCAGTCTAAAGTAAGAAACACAACAGAGAGGCATTGAGTTAAAGTAATGTAGTAATCTCTGTCATCCTAGGAGCTTTGGTACTTAGTGATGTGTTGTTTTTTCCCCTGAGAATAATTCAAGTCCTTTCTGAGGATTTTATCCTGATAAAATGTTTTTTTTTTTTTGTTTTCTGTAACTACAGTGTTCTTCTGTTTATTCCAAATAAAGTTTTATTACTGATGCCAGAAGTGTAAACATGTTCCCTCCATTCCACTGATCACAAAATGTTTTCACCTACTTGCAAACAAAATGATCAGCTGCTATGATTTATAGTGTGTCTGAAACATATCTGAGACACTGTGTCCTTACCTGCAGTGTGGTTCTCTTCAGACGATCGTTGACCATCTCAGTGTTCAGCTGCTCTTCCTCCAGCTCCTCCTCCAGCTGGGTGATACGAGCCTCCAGCCTCCTCTTCTCATCTGTCAGCAGAGAACTGGCAACAACAAGTGAGGAAGAGGAGTGACAATTAATAGATGAATGAATGAAACCTACAAGTTTGTCTCTAAATGCATAAGCTGGGAAACAAGTACACACTCTATACGCTGCTGTCCTCTTTATCTTGTGGAACTACAGTATGAGGGACATATTTAGATACGTTTGTCGGTGCATCTTAAGTTTATTTACTAAAATACGATCTTAAAAAGTATGTCGTTGTTCGTTTCATACTTCTTGGTGTTGTTGCTGTTAAGCTCATCCTGGAGCTCATCTCTCTCGGTCTGAACCTGTCTCTTGAGTCTCTCTGCATTGGCCAGATCCTGGAGAAATCAGAAGAAATGGGTATGTCAAGACTTGGTTGCTGGGACAGTTCACATGCACAGAATGATCAGGCACAGGAGATGGCCTTTTTTATGGTTACCTGTAAACAATGTGGTAATTTGAGTTAATCAAGTTTTCCAATGTAAACATTATATTACACAATATATAGTTTCATCCAATTAGGTCACATGGCTAAAAACATTCAAATTATGAACTGCTTGATGATTGTACAGAGGTTTTTTGTTAGATATTAATGCATAATTGCCATCCTTTAATATCCCATGTAATACTCCTCTTCTATAATATCTAGTTGAGTCTATAACTGTAAGAACTTTCCCCACATCCAGTCCTGTTTCGTAGTTTTAAGTTCTTATTTTCATTATTACTTTCATACCTCCTGGAAGTGCAGGGCATCTGCCTCCATGGCCTTGAGCTTCTTCTCTGTCTCCTTGGCTGCATTGACGGCTTCGTCTCTGGACAAACGCAGGTCATCCAGCTCTCTCATCAGATCTTTCATTTGGGCCTGGAGAGTACACATGCAGGCAGCAGTGCTGAAGTTAGACACCCAACATTGTGGACCACTTGGGCAATACTTTTTGCTTGTGTGCACTTGTGTCTATTTTACCTGGAGTTTTTTCAACTGTTTGAGGGCTTCATCACGGCCCTTGTTGGCAGTATCGATCTGGAGTTCGAGCTCAACCAGGTCCATCTCCAGTTTCTTCTTGGATGAGAGGGCCTGAGTACGCTGCCTGCGTTCATCCTCCAGCTCGACCTCCATCTCACGCACCTGAG